GTTTTACATAAGCATGATCAAATTGACTTCCATCAAGAGTTTTGTAATATCTCTTGCAATTATTCCTCACTATTTCTATAGGATTGTAGTGGCAGTGATGAGGTGGTAGTTGCAACACCTTATGCCCAGTAGCATTAATAATATTGTCCACACGGTACATTTTATTGACATGAAAATATACTATTTCACAATAACTGTTTTGGACATTCTCAATAATGTCATGCTTCTTTTTATTAGTAGGCTTTTAACCCGATATGAAAGGTTAGAAAATCAGTAATAATTTTATATTTAAATTATATTAAAACTATCAGTGGTTGTAGATTATTTATAAGTAGAAAAAATATTCACAGAAAATACATACTGTTTCTCTGGCTTGTTTGATGAACAGTTCCTGGTGAAATGCATCAGCCGTAAATAGAACATTGTTGTTTTCTAGGAAGTGTTTCAGTTGATGTTTTGTCCACTTTCTTGTAAGCAATCTCTCCAATTCTAAGCATAGAAAATACAAAATTATTTCGTTTTTCGAAAATAAGTCACACCATCTCTGTTGTTTTGCATTTTGTATTTACAAAAAATATTGCTATTATATTGTTTCTTCAGGAGTACAATGCAATAGATATTCAGCTGTTACTTACATGATCACTGTGTTAAGAAGCGTTATCTAGCACAATAACAGACGGTTCTTGAAGTTTTGTAAATTCCTCAAACGTCTCCCCACTCATCGTTCCATTTCCTTGCGAAGAATATAGTGTCTTCTTGTCGCTGGCGTGAACAAACCGATGCACTTTGCGCTCGCTCTGGCTTCTCATGGTTCACAATCGTGTCACAATTATGTAAAAAATAAATATAAGAAGCAAAGCACGATATCACAAAACAACTCTCCACCCAACCGGAAACATGTGCTTCGCCACCAGTACGCATCTCACATTGAAGAATCGATTTTAAAACAAACATTACATTTATCACATAAAAATAAAATTCAATGTAATGTTTACATAAAAAAATAATATTTACAGAAGAGCACATAGCTTTGTACTTCCTAATTTGAATTATTTCTCGTAGCGCACTGAATTTTTGTCGGACGAGGAAGAATTTTTGTCTCAAAAAGATGAGTCGAAGCCATTTACAAGTTAGCCAACTGCAAACGAACGAATGGAGGGAGAGTCTTACAGGTTCAAGGCCACAACCACAGAATCGTCAGTTGTGTTGCTAGCATTAGCTGTCAAATCACCCCATTCTAAAAATAATTTCTCTATAGGCATTAGCCTATCGAAAAGTGAAGCCTATTTCAGCACCGCGGCGGCCATGATGCTGATGTCTAAACCTAATTTCCAATATGGTGTCAACTGAATTTTAATATTCATGTCGACGTATCGATAAATATGACACAAATGTTGTTTCCGCATTTAATAAATATTTTTAAATTAATATAAATAAGTAAATGTTTTGAAAAGGGAATGTTGATTTAATACATCAAAAATTACGATGCATACAATATTTTGACTAATAATATAATTTTTTTCTGAAAGCATACATTTTGCTTCTTGGAAATGACACAATTTTATTTTTTTAAATAATATTTAATTTGTGTAATATTTCCTCCCCCTCAATATTATATATATAATTGGAAGTATTAACTTACTTGTGAAATGTCAAGTTACTGTTTTTATTATAGGTGTTACCGCAGTAGGCTCACTTCGCAACCATTAAAAAAAACTATTTAATATATTTTTCCTTTTCTTTAATAATATTTACATATATCACAGACTACATTTGCAATGACAAACTGCTCAATCACAGTTGACGCCATATTTGAAATTAGATTTAGACCTCAGCATCATGGCCGCCGCGGCGCTAAAATACGCTTCACTTTTCGATAGGCTAAGGCCTATCCAGAAGTATATATAGAGATCAGTTCTTGAAATATGTTATGATGCTTAGAAATTAAATAAATATAACTGAACATGTTAGAACTTGTCCAGCAGCTTCTCTACTCACCAGCGCTCCACACAGTAGAAACAGGTACTACTTTCCGGACGTTCTACGTAGATTGGTCTATTGAACAGTCTTAAATTAATTCGTTGGTGTTTTCAAACCGTCTTTTGGCTGGAGTTGATTATTCGTATCACACGACCTGTATTTTGGTGGTAGGTATTATTTTGTATTATACATATTGTTGTCAATCACGGGTTTGCAAGTTCTCTTCTGTGCGTGCGTAGACCACTTCCTAGCAAAACAATGTCATCAGCAAATAATCGTGTTTTGGACGTCGTGTGTGTTTTATCTTTGCAAGCCTAGGCACCGTCGGGGCTTCATCCACTTTCAACATCTTGAAAAAAAAGTTCTCGATTCCGTTCTTTTGAAGCATCTTCCTCGTCATGGAGAGACAGCATGGTAGTGGTGATGGCTTCTTTCCCGTCGCACGATAGCACGGGAATCTAGACCAAGCTAACCACTCGGATGTGGATTTTTTTATTATAATCGTAAACCGGGCGCGCGCCGCCACAGGTAGCAGAAAGGGTGGGTGGCTGACTCCCTTGGGCGAATGATCACAGCAGCCGGCTGGCGGTGACCCGCCCGTAAAGTGACTGTATCCCGGACACATTATCCGCGGATAAGACGAACGTTCTCCCACATTGCTCACAGTTTAAGATAAAACGTCCGAGCAGATACTTGCTGGCCTGCATCGAAGTAATACTGACAGCGAAGCAAAGAAGCCGTTGAGGCTCTCACGAAAGAAACCATCGGTGTCTAAGTATTACACGGAATGATATTTTTGTATGATAGGGCGTTTTTGCGTGGCAAAACGTTATAGCAATCAACAGCACTATCAATCTTGTTGGTTTGGGCAGTTTGAGTTTCGTATAATGTTTGCGCATGTGCAGAAGATCGATTGGTCTACGCCGTTCCAAAATGCCCTATTCTCCGAAGTTCTCATTCTCGAATCAGAATGCTTCGGGCCCCCTTGCGCACGTTGGACTGTTCCTGATTGCTCAGAATCAACTTCCAATCATGTTGGCCGGGAGGGAAAAGTGGTAGTTCGGCCGGTGACAATCGATCCCCAGGACTGCACGTTGGGTGTGCCATTCCTCCCGTGTCGACGAAATGTACGCAGCTGCACTAAATATCAATTTTCTTTTCGACAGATCCAGCGGAATTTGAAACCTCTTTTGCTTTAAAAAACACGATTTGGACGTGCGTATCTGCGCGATCCTGGGGACCCCATTTCCTTCAGCGTTCGGCGACAGCATTTGAAATTTTTTTCCTCTCGCTAACGAACCATTTTGACCGGTGCGTTGGAGCGCCCAGTGCTTGGCAATTTGCGGAGTGGATCGACAAAACAATAACAAACTGCGTTCGTTTATGACTCTCTAGCTGTCATACGTCGACTGCTGCATTGTTTCCCGAATGAAGTCCTCTGCCCATCTCCGCGCAGTCTCCTCAGGGACCCCTTGCAGCCATAAATACACCCCCGCACTTGTAACGTAAGGGCCCCTTCACACGTCGTCACCGCGGCTCGTAGCAGAGCATTGGTTTGAATGGAGCTCTTTCCTCGTGCGTCGGGTTTGCGCCAGACCCTCGCTACGAGAAGCGCAGCAGGGTGAACGCGCCACCGCTAGTAGAACGCAGCAGTAAGTGATGGCATTCCCACTGCGCCACCGGTCGCGGCGTTTTACTTGCAACAGTCCCTTTCAGAGAGTATATTTCATGTATTTCCAGAGAGTCCCTTTGTTCGTCGTAGCCGGCGAAAGCTACTCCTGCAGAACCCACCCCCTTCCACGGCGTGCAACGGTGGCGGCGTCGCCGTTTATCGGAAGCATGCCGCTGTGTGAAACGCCGCGGCGCCCACGTGGGGCGCGCGCGGTCTTTGTCGCCACCCCTGCGCCGAAGGATGGAATTACCGAGGCCTCGGGCACCGCGAATTCGCCTGATCGGAGATTGCATACCGTTACAATATATATTTCAAAGATTCGTGCTTTTGTTCAGAAATAAATGAGCTTACTAATCCACTTCGTGGTTTCTGCATTAAATGAAAGGTAGCGAATCCTATATGTGTTATCACTTGCTCCTTTTAAAATATTTTATAGTAAAAACACTACTTTTTAATAATATGAACGAATAATCTGTACTTCTAAACATGACTATGCTCTGTCAAAGGCCCAATTGGGAACCAGTTTCGGAAGAAAACGAGACCTCTGTCCTACATGTGCATTTTCTGGATCAGAACCTTTTACTAATTAAGAAAAGTTTCATTTCAAATAGTAACATTGCAAAAACAAAAATCAGACACAATGAATATGTCCGACAGAATGCCAGATGCACATAATTATCAAGTGTAGTTGTAAACCATTTACCATTTGAATAAGAATGAATATCTTGTAAAATTCAAATTCCATTCAATTCTTAGCAGAATATCTAAATACTATGGTATTTCATCAAAATTTTAAAAAAAAATTGTTTATTTGAATTTCTCCATTTTTCTTCCCAGAAACTTACATTAAAAAGGAAACAACTGATTACAAATGTCCTTAAGAAATAATAATTTAAAAAATGAAATTAAAAAGTTTTCAAAATTCATTAATCTAAGGGAATTTTTTTCCCCTGACAAGTTACCTTTCTTAAAATATGAGGATTTATCACCACCTTAAGAATATTTGTGATTATGGATGGAACATTGTTCCTCAACAACTATAAGAGCATTTACAGTGGTTCCAAGAAATACCAAAAATAAGATCAATTCAGTTTAATAAATATGGAAAGCGATCATTTCAAAATAAAACATTCAAAAATATCACAGTGTGTGTATGTACATATGCCTGAGGATAGTAACAACTAATTACAAATGTCCTGACCAAGAAATAAAAAACTGAAATTAAAAAACACAATTAAAAGTAATTCTTCTCAGAAATGTTCTTAAGTAAGACACATTAAGATAAAATCACGTCTGAAGTGGCAATTTCAAATGTTTTGATTGATAGAGAATGCACATTAAACTTAACATTTTCAGAATTACTATTATGATAGTTTGTCCACTACATTTACAATTGTTTGGAGTGAGAGACAGTAATTTCACTGTTCCTAAGTTGATAACAAAGATTGTATTGGTGTTTCAGAATATTTGTATTTATTTATTTTCTCTTTTTTTTTTTTATACAAACAATCCTAAATGAAAATTTCAATTAGTAAGGTAGCAAAAAAATGTAAATTTCAATTAGAAATGTAACAAAAATATTTTAATTTTGTACTCTCACTTAAGAAAACTCAAAAAAAGTCTCTTACATTTGTATACAAGGCAAGAACATAGCTAATTTTTAGCTAGCATAATTTTCAGAGAGGTCAAGTAGTGAACATTTGATATGAGATGATTTCCAACTAAGAACTAAGAGACCTTTTAAGGTCATATTTCATAAACCTCTGTTATCCGAGTTCAACACAATTTCATTATATTATGAGAGGAACTTCAATGTAATTTATTTATGAAAACATTGTAGTACAAACATAAAGTTAGTCTTTATATTATTTGCAACTGCAATCAGCAAACCTGAACTAATTTAACATCATTGAAGAGTATTTTTCCTGGCTCCCTCTTCATGCCAGATGTAATGAAAAATAAAAAAAAAAACCGAATACAATAAAAAAAATTTAATTCATAAAATACAATCTTGTGAATCCCTCAGTTGTGAAATACTTAGAAGAAAATACTGTATTTACCCAAATATAAGATCATGTTTTTTCTTAAATACTTTGAAAAAGAAGTCATCTTATATTTGCTAATTAAGCTTACTAGTGAGAATCTGTCTTTTCCATCTGAAAAACTTGTATGCTGACAAAACAATATGCTGGAAAGGCGATAATAAGCCAGACACGTCTATCCCTTCAGTTCATTTCCAACAGCTTTTGAAGAAAAATTATTTGAGTTCCAATGAACATCATGGTCTAAAATTACAGAAAGAACATGACTATATGCTCAGTCAAGTCAGCAATACTGACCAGAAACGCATTTATTTTAATGTTGTCAAAAGGAACTGTTGAAGACCATGGTAGTAATAGCAGTATCGTCAGAAACACTATGAAATGGAAGACCAGAGTAAGTTATGTTGTGTGCTCTGGCTGATGGCATGAAGCTGGCTACATATGCATTTCCACACAGGAAAAGAACACCAAAAGAGAAATTGCCAACAGGACTCACCTTCAGATACGAGAAAGAGAAATCGTGGATGACCAAGAATGAGATGCTCGACTGGTTGATGGTTTGGATTACAAAATCAGGTTATCAGCCAAAGAGACGAATGTGGATGCTTGATTCACTCAAGGGACACATCACCCAAGAACTGATATTAAAAAGTAACATCTCAACTACAAGTAATGGAAGTTGTTGTAAATAAACCATTCAAGGGTCATCACTGACAACTTCATAATGACTGGCTTCCAGGAAACCATGCTTTTCCTCCAGGAGGGAAATTTCAGAAGCCCTCAGTAACCAAGTTGAGAGAATGGGTAGCTACTGCTTGGAATAAGATTTCTTGATGCACTTGGCAGCTCAGAAGATGATCTACTGGGAGAGGACTAGAAAGAAAAATCATCAACATGAACAGCAGTATAGGTCAGAAAGAAAACAACTAACAAGTGAAGTGAAACATACAAGTGAAGAAGAACAAAGTAGTGATCATTAAGAAGAATAAGAAAATAGCAATTGCACAGATACACTTAGGTTTTTCATTTAAAAGATTTTCTAGTCAATAATACCATTTATGATTTTACTGTGATTGTAAAAAGTAACAATTGGTTAAAAAAAAAACAACTCGGGAGGCATCTTCAAAATTGAAGGTTATCTTATATCTGGGCACATACAGTATTTATCCACTTAACAAAAAACAGAGTGGCACAACTGTATAAAAGTTGGGAGATTCTTTCATCTTCTGCTATTTCTTAGAGATTTTTACAAGACAAAAGCATTCAATTTCTTTTCACTCTTATTTTATTATAATTTCTCAAAGAAGAAAAATGTATTGATCTGGTCCTTTTAAAATTAATTCAATAAAAATATCAGAAAAGCTTATAAAAAATTCCTCAAATCACACCCTAGAGAGTTTATAGTAGATATACATAAACAAACAAGTAAAAAATAGTTTTACAAATCGCAATAACTTTAGACAAAGCTAATATTTAGAAGAACATTCTGGGTTGTTGATCTTAAGACTGAAGGTGGAAATAATTGTAACAAATACATGTGTTAAGATTTTGAGAAAGATGAAAGAAGACAACTGATAGAATGGTTATCAAGATGAAACAGTAAGATTTTTACTGTTTGTAATGGAATAAGTCAGAAATATTCTTTCATTTTTTAAAACAAATATTGTCATTTTAATGTTTTCTTCATTGGGCTCCTAACAAACATGATTACTGACAAAGGAAACTGGTGATGTGTTAACAAAACCCAATCTATAAAATTGCAATGTGGTACATTTCAGAAAAGAGAAGCAAAGGAATATATAAGAACATCATGTATTTAAACTACCCAGTATACAACCCCTTGATGTAAGGGCATTTTACAAGAATATTATAGTATGCTAGTTGAAAGAAAATTTAACACATGCAGAAGAATTTTTACAAAGGAGGGTATTAGCAGTTCTTCAACTTGATTTCTCTCAACAAAATAGATAAAATTTTAATGAATGGAACTTAAGTTACAAGGAAATAAATCAAGTCCAAACAAGACAATTTGTACTTCCATCCTATCATACAGACACACACACAAAACTCAAGTATATATCACACTTTCTTTCACTGGGACAAACAATGTAGTTCCATACTCAAATAGGCAATACTGTATTATACAACAAATAAACATAGAATTTTAGTGTATCCTTGTCAGATCTTCCACAATCTTCACTAGATCATCAACAGTTGCCTCCTGTTTCATTCCACTCCCATTATCAATCTGTTTAAGACAGAAAAGGCAAGTAAGAAACAGTACAACCATTGAAGGAAAACAGCAATGAACAAATATAGCAAAATCTGATCTTAAAATATTCCAAATTAAATTAACAATACATCACAATATGGGTAAACAATTCATCAGATTCAATATTACCTGCAGTCCAAGAGATACTTCTTTCATCTTTTCATGAGAAAGGTCCAAAAAACTTTCAACAAGATCACCATCTACAAAACCTTCGCAAGGCTCAGTTTTAATATCTGTATTAAAACTTCTCCAAAATCCGTGGTCAATTTTACCCACAGATTTTATAACATGGGTTAACTTCTCTTCCAATTCATGCAAAAAGTCATAAAAGTCAGGGGGAATCTGAGTGACAAGACCTGAAAAATCCAAAATTCAAGATAAGTAATTCACTTCTATGGTCAGATCTCATATCACACAACAAAAAATTAATTTCTTTATCTCTTTAGTCTGGACTAGCTATTAAGTTTTGCTCCAATCACTTTCCCGGTTCCTACCTATCAGCATCGAAAAGACATAGTTTGACATTTTCTTAATTTTTCGATCAGCTATTACAGTTATATCAAAAATTAATTTCAGAATATTATAGAAGAGTGAACTTAATTGTTAAAAGAAAATAAAAATTTGGAGCAAATTTTGATTTTCTTTTTTTTTAAAAAAAAAAAAAAATTCCAGGACGTGCATATAAAGTTTGTCCAAAAATTAAAAAATTCCTCTCAAAATCACAGTGGTTAGAAGTGGGCAAGACTGATCAGGGAATGTACATTTTGGAAAATATCTCACGAATTGTTCTGACCCTAAAGTTGTTCACAGGCAGATGGACAGTAAAGAAAAGCTTTTTTGGTATCAAATACTCAAAAGGTGTATGTCTGTTAAAAACTAGAAATTAATTTTTCATAGGCTCCTGGAGTCAACACGCCAGCCATGTTACCCCAACACTACCAGCTGTCAACTCCCCTTTCCGATGCTTAAAAAACTTTGTTTATTTGCATTTGCAATTTTCAAAAATTCAGATTTTCATTTATATTATTTCAGGACCTAGTTTTAAGGAACTGATTTAATTATGAAAAAACAATCAAAAATTTTGTAGTTTTGTGATGTTAATTTTTTGTTTGTAAATTTTTGAAAATAACAGTTCGCTGAAAATGGAACATATGCTATTTTGTAAGCACCATTGCTCTATCCAAGGAAACATTGAAAGAAATAATTAAGAGGCATTTTTATGAAAATAATTATTTAAAAACTGTCTATATATTCCACGAAAACTACATATATTTTCAGAAAACTTTTTCAAGATATCTTTGAGGAACAGATTTTATTACAGAAACTAGGCACAAAAACATTTTTTCTTGTATTATTTCTTTCCAAATTTTTGAAATTTCAGAAAAAAAAAGTTCAATAAAAACGAAGCCTGCACCATTTCTTTCGGTGTCCTTTACTCAGCCTGAGGCAGAAAAAATTGTTTATGAATTTCTTTTTATGAACTTCAAGCCGATATTATGTGAAAACTCCCTTTTTTCCACAAAAAATGTACCTGATCTTATTCATGATACAATTTTTTCAAACAGATTTGATTTAGAAACAAAACTACAAACCATATTGTACTTTTCGAGTATTTTTTTCACATACTGAAAATTGGACCAGTGATTTTTACTTTCTCGCTACTGCTTGTCCAATAGAGAGATAGTTATGTAATAAGGCAAGAAAAAACTGAATTTTCAGCAGAAAAACTCTTTTATTACAGGGCCCTGGTAAAGAAAAAGTGTATAAATCCAGCTGCTTAATGTAGAAATAAAATCCTCTAACTTATAGTGTAGCTAGAATTAATGTGTTATGGGTCCCTGATACTGAAAAATTGATTCACAGCAAAATGTCTGACCATACATTTGTCTGTCTGTGAACAAAGCTACTGGCTAAACCATTCAGCTGATTTTCTCTAAAATTGATATTCCCCAATCAATTTGGCTGATGTCGCAGCCTCTTGAAATCGAAACCGATATTTTAATTTTGAGGAGAACTTTACACTAAGACCCTGCGACATTTTCAAAAAAATGGCTCCAGCATTTTTGATTAAACTTTGTTACTGGATAGTGTGTTTTTGGCATCTTCCTACCACTGTGAAGATACAATTTGTTTCTTAATGAAACATGTTCATCAAAAAAGATCACGCTGAATTTTTCGAAAATATGAATATTGTTTTAATAATTTGGAATCAAACATAGTCACCCGTTCCGAATTTACTGCACTTCATGAACGTACAATGAATGGTGATGCCAGGCAATTGGATGCTATGTAGATTTTGTATGTTATTTCATATTTCTTTGCTTGTTTCTTACATTCAAGCTTTTGTTTTACGACTTAAAATTAATCTTTTAGAAATTATTTAAAACCTATTTGAAATTGCATCCTTTAATGGAGTTAAATGTGACATCTAACAGATGATTTTGCTTTGCGTAATAAGATGCGGGAATGAAGAGTATGCATGTTAAAACAGAGTAATTTTCACATATATAAAAATATTATATTTTATTATCATATTTTTCTATCTATTTTCATTTTCTTGCTAGCGGTATCAACAATGCTTATTTGCAAATTGCGCATCCCATACAAATTAGAGGTCATTGTTGCTTGCAGCTATTCATTATTGTACTGCTGCACTGATAACAGAAGGCAATAATGATGGTTGCTTCCATTCACGTTAATATATACTAATCATTTTATTTATGGCTAAAATAAGCAATGATGGTACATTTATGTAGAACGTGAATTCAATGACAGGAAGCTGTTATTGTTTAAGAATTTTTCAAATGATAGTTGAAGTGTAAGACAGAAATTGTCATATTATAATGTTACATGGCTATTAACAATATTGCAAGAAAGTACATGCATTTGTAGCACCACTTAGTTGTTTTTTTTTACCATCTTTTGTTACATCTAAGGGAAAAAAATGAAATATTTAGCAGTTGGGGAGGATATTCTTGCCTATATATCGTGCAAAATTATGTGAAAACTTTTCATATTTTTAAAAATTGTACAAGACATTATTTCAAGAACTCTCTTTGAACAACAGAATTCATTAAAGAAAATCTTTATCTTCAATATTGTAGTTACAGGAAGACACTGAAAAAATTATACTTTTAAAATTAACTGATGCAATTTTAAAAAAATTCAGGAACTTCAACAAAAATGAGATCTGAATTTCTTTTTAAGTGTTTGTATATGCTACCTAAGTCAAAGCCTTTCTTGAGAAAATTTTGAGACTTCATGTAAAAAACCCAATAAAATCAAAATAAGTTTCAAACAAGCAGGGCCTCAAGTTCAGTCACGTTGATCAGGGTGTATCAATTTTGAAGAAAATTGTCTTGAGTAGTTCAGGTTCACAAAACGTGGATTCAGACTACACAATATATGAGAAAAAGTATTTCACTACATATTGGAACTATCCACTTTTTCGGCATCAGGAAACTTCAATACAAATTTTTCTGCAAAAAAATTGCTGTTTTTCACACCAGATTACATAACTTTCTAAATGCTACAAGGAGTTCGCAGGAACATAAAATTTGAGATACCTAACAGGAGAAGAAGTTTTTTAGCATTTACAGTAATTACAAGTATACTACAAAATGAAGAAGGAAAATTGAGAAAACATACCTATTGCTCCACTGACTGTACCAAATAAAACGCATCCTTGGGTAGGTGTAGATGTTTCTCCTACATGTTGCATGACTAATGAGCCATGCCTGAAAACATTCACCATATCACCTAAATGGAATTGACCTACTTCCTGCATTTGCTGTCGTTCTTCATCTGTTGTTGCAGCACTGGAAAAAAGAATCTCTAAATCACATTTTACTAGTGTTAGGGCCCCAAAATGCACAAAAATAAAGGGTGTTTTACCTGTCTTTCTGACATACAAACAAATTGAAAGAATTTTCAGCACCTAGAAAGGTGTCATCATCTAAGATTTCAATAGCTGTCATCCAGTTTGGATTATAATCTCTTGCCATCTGCAAAAGATGGAGTAACAAACAAAAATGAGTTTACATATCTAAAAACAAATCTAAAGAATAAAGTTTTAAATATACCTCTTCAAAGCTGCCTTCCATTGTTTTGTACTGGAGTAACGTCATAGAACGCATCAAATCCCCAACCAAAATAAAATCTCCTTTCTTTTTCAAATACAAAGCTATTATATTGTTAAAATGACTACATTCCAATCTGAGCTCCTTTTCTGCAGTCCACTCAAACAATCTTACCTGCAATAAAATAATTACAAATCAATCAATACTGAGAATTTTTCTTTTTAATGTTTTTAACCACGTAGTTCACTGCAGAATATTACAGAGAAAATTCAATGCAAGTAGATTGTCTTCAACTGGTTGGATCATTTATTAATACAACTCGCAACAAATAAACACAAACAAAGATACTAAGAGACAATTTAATTTGTTAATAGCCTGGACAGATTACACAAGATAAGAACACCCTAGAATGAGCAAAATTTGGGAGTGTATTAGAGTACAAAATGTCTGAAAGCTTTGTTTCATATTCAGTTGCTCTTATTTTGGATTTATAGGTTTTAATAAATATCCGATGAATCATGGTCAAAAAAATAAGATACAGTGTTTGAAGATGAGACGTTTATATAATATTTAAAAGTTGTCACTATTTCACTCAAAAATATATGAAAATACTCAAATTTTCACTAGTTTACACAAAAATATTTGAGAATCAAATTTTGAAGCACAAATTTCATTTACCCTTGGCATTCCCAATTTTTCAGGTACTGCATTTGCATCAGCTCTTTATTAAAATGTCTTTGATGTGCTACTTTGGGACACATGCAATGCATTGGAGATTACTAGGTTTTGAATCATAAAGAATAAAAGGTTCTTTGTTAAGAAACAGTTTTGGTTGACATTACCGCACAACACAGTCAACAATATTCATAAAGAATTGAAGAAATTGAAATGAGATAATAAACATGAAATGTGTACTGTTTGCACCCTAGGTTTGGTTGGACAGGATATTTTCTTCCTGACAAAAATTCTGGTAATGCGTGAAATTGAACTCTAGTTTTCATCTTGGTGAGTTGTACTCTAGGACTTCAGCTATCTTAAAGTGATATAGAAGTCTTCCATTTAGTTTATATCAATATACTATAATCAAGCATTGATTCAAGGGAAGGAAATGAGAGAAATCCCCCCCCTCTTAAAGTTTTCTGTAACTATTAATTTTAACATGTCAGGAACTTTTAAGCAAAAATATTTTCAGATATTCATTAAAATAAATAAAATCATATCACAGCATGAGCTGAGTGTAGCTTGTGACATTTTACAAAATCTGTAATGCCAAATTCAACCTAAACATTTTTAAGTTCCCCTCCCAAAATTTGTCTCTGGTTCCACACCTGCTATAATTAGTAGCATAATAAACAGTATAAAAGACTGAAATATTACACAATGGATATGACAGACAGTAAAGGTCTATTCCACAGCTGTGCACATCCAGCCAAATTAGAATGAATTCTGAGCTTTAAAAAGAAAAATAATTGTATGTCGACAGGGTCTCAACATCAGAGCAGAAGACCAATGTTGCAATGTAGAGCCCCACTTGACACAGGAATACAAAAGGTTAAGTAAAAAATTTCAGTCTTTAGTATAAATGTTGAAGGAAGATGCCAAAAGAAAAAAAAATTAATGATTTTCGAAAATTTAAGTTTTTAACAAAAATTGTTACATGTTCAGGACTGTACAAATACAGGACTGTAAAATTGTACAGGATGCAGCCGAAAGGCTGATCCCCTTAATTTCACACGATCTCTCCAGGATAGAATACAACTGGGCCTCAGAGATAGAAATAGACCTACATATACAAGGTTTTGTAAAGGAAATAATCTCCACAAAAGTTTTAATAATTTTATTAACAATTTTCCATATTTAACTTTCGGGAAACACTTTTCCCATCCTCAGTGGATCTCTAGCAAAATGGAGAAATGAAACAAACATATAAGTATCATAAACAAATAATATCATATAAATACAAAAAGAAAATAACTTACTGCTCAAGCAACGTGGATCTCCCATGAATGTTCGCCAAATGGTCAAAAATATAAATGGCAAAACATGGTGGTTACAGCTAGTGGCAGCCATCTTTTTCAAATGGGAGAAGAGGAAGCCTAACAATGAAAGGAAAGGGGAAGAGCAGTAAGTTATTTCTTTCCACTAAATTCACTGTACCCCCCCCCCTTTTGTGATAAACTTATGTTTGTGTCATTTCTCCATTTTGCTAGAGATCCACTGACGATGGGGAAAAGTGTTTCCCGAAAGTTAACTATGGAAAATTGTTAATAAAATTATTAAACTTTTGTGGAGATTATTTCCTTTACAATACATATTACCACAAGGTATCTCTACCACCACGGAATTTTTTCCTACATATACAATTTGGAGAGAACACTACAAGAATTCAACAGATATTTTATTAAACATACCGTGCTATTAATACTTGCAAGAAGCCTGCCATTAAACTCAACAAGAGAGTAACATGCACCCTTTATTTCCTTTTCCGCCACTTGTTGTAATTTTCCATCCTGATACAGGAACATAAGTATACGACCTAATTTGGGTTCACTTTCTTCAGGATTAACTAATGCTGTACCAACAATGTAATATGTATTAGGATCTTCACCCAATTTGCTTGATACAAGGCTTAAAGCGTATTCGGACTGCATAAACTGATGAGCATGAAGAACTGCAAACAAAAGAAAGAAGTTTTTTGTTTCTCAAAAACAATAAAACGATCTTCAACAATACCCTGTACTCAAAATAATGACAAACAACATAACTATTTATCCTTGCTCAAAATTCTTAACAAATTTACAAGATCCTTTATTTTACCATTACCTTATTTAACCTTGTTCCACTGCAGCTATTTGGCTACATCACTTTCGTGGTCTGATTACACTTCTTGAATATATTTTTAACCAATAACAGTGATTTCTATTCATTTCTATGACTTATTTGAATCATTAACAATATACATAAACATTTTCTGTGGATTTCTGGAGTAATTTTCTCTTTGGTGCACGTTGAAATGTTATCCACGACATTGCAGGGGCCAATTTTTTGTTGAATTTCTCAATGATAGTGAATTCACGAGATAAAAGTATCTGCCGTTTTGAAGAATAGGGTTTGTTTACAGTAGAAATAATCCCACTATATGAATTTAATGTAAAAGCTTGGAAGATGAGAAGAATGAGAAATGAGTTGTTGCCAAATGGCTACTACAGGCACATAAGCATACATAACCTAAAAATGAAAGTTCATTCATAACTATTGTAACAGTGTTTAGGGATTTATTTAAATTTAATTTGAAGCTAAGATATTTATTTATTAAAATAGAGGCATGAATAAATGTAAAATAAATCCAATAACTTAGTTACATCTTTGATACAGCGACGAGTAACACATCAGTGATCTGTTTTCCGGACAAGATAATAAAGCTGTTATTACTAAAAATAAAAATTGTTGAATTCTGTACAGATGCAGAATGAAAATAATTAAGTTCTCTCATGCACAATAACAAACTACATAATCATGGCATATTATTTTCAACAAAATTAGGAAACGTAAATTAAGTTGCAAATTAAAACTCGTATAAATAAATTTAACGGTTGATCATTTGCCTACATCTATTTTCGATCTAGCGAAGAGAACATAAAAATACAGAAACAGTATTGTATGGAAGAAATGAATGTTGATCAAGAAAGTAATGCCTGCCAGGCACACTGGAAGAAATTCAAACAGCTGTTGTTACAGCAAAAATTAGCAACATGTCATGGTAGACATTGCCAGGGCGATATTCAAGGACTTAATGTTTAAAATGTTGTGAGTATACCCAAAGAACTGCTTTTTTAATTGACTTAACAAAATAAGGGTAGTTTTACTGTATTTATTTCTCTTAATATGATATTTTAAGTTCTCTATGTGCCCACTGTAGCCATACGGCAACATTTCATTCAGAAATAAACTGTTCAGAAAATGTTTTGTTGTGACACTTGTTTTTATGTCTTCTGGTGTTCTATATGTCTCTATAAATTGTATGCCTTAAATATTTTGTTTCTTCATATTTTGGGATTGAAAGAGTTAATTATATATTTATACAGGTTGTGCAAGCAAATACAAAATAAGCCGATACAGAATTCATCAATTAGACATTCTGGTATAGCCCTAGGACTTTGAGATTTAACTAGCCAAAGGTAAGGTCTGGTTTCAATGTGACCCAAGCAAACTTGGGTATTTGAATTTCTGCCTTCCTTACTGCGTTTTTATACATAACATCCAAGGTATACAACCCCATTGTATTTGCTTATGAAATAAAGATACCTTCAAAAGTATGCTGATCAATAACTAATAAATTGTGAATCTCAATTTCTTGTCCAAACTCCGCAGCAGTATTGGCACCACCCAGAGCACCTGGCTTTATGAGAGAGAGAGAACCCACAGCTGCAGAAGAAGTGGTGCTCTGTGTTTGGGTGCTGGCACTGGGGCGAACAGGACTCAAGCCAGTCGTGTCTTGCATGTCAATTCTCATTGTGATTACACCAAAGGTCTGAAATTATTTTAAACAGAATGTAATATTATACATAAAATTGATCAGATACTATTTTAAAATATTATGTTTTCCAAATTATATTTCATTTTTATAAAAGTAAATAAATGACAAACCTGAAATTAATAATGAAATAAAACTTTTAATACTATTTTTTTTGTTCTCCGTCTGACTTGAGGATTAGGATCTCTGAGCCCAAGGAACTTTTCAACCTGTGTAAACTAATCTTAAGGTCAGCGAATTCTTTGATGCAACTTTCTGAGAACTGGCAAGTGATTCCAAAGTTCTGAAGTATACTTTTAACTAACAGTAAAGAAAAATCAAGGATCCATGATTTCCATCGTGCCAGCTCAGTGCAGTCAGTATACAATTACGAAAACTTAAGAAGTTTCTCACCACCTTGGGACATTACCTCTCCTTTGTGATTAACAGACATCAGAATTTTAGTGAAACACTAATTTAACTCTTTCAACATTTACATTTGAAAGGGACTTTTTCACGTTATATGAATCACATTTACAGTACATAAATGCCTATTTCAGCATTACAGCCTAAAAACCTTATTTGTCCTTTAATTCTGTCAATTTTAATTTTTTAAATTATACTAACAATTTACAAGCTAGTTTTTAATCAAGTCTTCTTCAAGAAAAAGAATTCTGTCCTCGAAATATCTTTACACGCTGTTTTAGGGCATCTTATCGCTCAATATCTTAAATTATCATCACACTGAATTAAATTGCTTTGCAAAAATAATCTTGAATTGGGCAAATATATAAGAGAGGTGCCACAAAATTCCCTCAACCAATTTACAAGTTAACATGGCTTTGCTCAGAATAAAATAATTCTAATCTATGAAATCCCAGAGGACGACACAATTAGTTTATTGCCAATGAGTATGCACCAAACAAAATGGAAGAAGACAATTTTCTGTTGGTAAAATGATTAACAGTAATAAGAGGCATATTCCATCCTCAATTTACAAATGGTTTTGGATACATATGTTGAGGCAATAAACAGAAAAAATATGCTTAATCCTTTGGTCTACAATGTGAAACTCCAGTTCATGTACTACAACGTTGGGTCTTTTTGACCCAACTCACATTTTTTGTAAAATTTGTAAATTTTAACATTCTAGGAAACAAAATTCCTTTCTTCTCAAAATACATCCTTTTCATTATTTAAATAAACAATTTCTCATTTTCTCCAAATAAATGCTTACTGCTACCCTGTCAAGCATGCACTCACACACATTTCTCATGGCTTTCAGTCATTTTGACCAGTATGCCATAGATCACAAGTTAATCATCTTTTTTTTAACAAATTCGAGAAATTAAGTTCATTTTTTAAAATTTATCAGCCATGTAAAACAGAATTGAAATTCTTTCCTCAATAGTACGGTGTTAGGTTTCTCCCACACTTTTGCTTTTATACGAGGGACATTTTTAAGTAAGAACCATTTTTGGTGGAGTAACAGCAAGTTTATTTATGAACATAAATTGTATCAACAACTTGACTATGAAATTTTCTTTACTTTTCTACATAGTGACCAAGAATACCTAAGCATTTGTTAAGTCGTGGCTCTAGCTTTTGCCCTCATCACACAACTCTCCCAACCAAACCAGATAGTAACTGTTTCTGTCATGTCATCATTTTCAAATCACTTTCCACCAAGATATTCTTTGAGTTTAGAAAAAAAACAACATGAAAGTCTGATTGTCAGGGCTGTAGTGGGGATGGTCCAGTAATGTCAAATTTTATCAACTTTTTTTGTCAAGTCTTCATCAATGACAGTTGGTTGCCAACATCGTTCATCATGAATATGTGTTCTTCCTTCATTGAAAAGCCTACACCATTTAAGCAAATTACAGTCATTCATTACACCTTCACCATAAACTTCAACAAGTTGTAGGTGGATTTCATTGGGACGAACTTCTTTTGAGTTTAAAAACCAAATAACCAAACGCACTTCACAATCGGTGGATTTATTCATTAACACAGTGACAAACAAAGCAGTGTTACGATAGAACCAACACAGACAGAGACATGAAATCTACTGACTGCGTATTTGGGGACTGGGCAAGAGCAGGCTGACCTTGAGCAGGTATCACGTGACAGCCTGCACGGCTGCTATGCGCAAACTGTTCTTTGTCACTTTAAAAATTACCTTTATAAATTCATTTTATTGCATGACACTTACTTGAGAACTTTCTTGGTAGGCAATTCTCCTGGGCGATTCACCAAGTGGAACTGTTCTAATATGCAACTTCTGAATCTCATCAATTGTTCCAATAGTCACTGTGCTTTCAGTGGCTAATGCAAGACTAGAAACAATATTCAAACATGAAAAGTAGGAATAAAGAAAAATATCTTAAAACATAATAAAACATAATCCAATATACTATTACGGGTCTCAATATTTTACACTTTTATATTTCATAATGTTTGGTAACATTACAATGGGATAGCGAGACAAGAGTTTTGGTTGTATAGCAACAAATAAACAATTGCGTAAATTATTTGTATTCGTGGAAAAAGGAAGTTTCGGATACAAAAACTATATGACATCAGAGAAAGTATAATCAGTGGTGGGGATAACTCTAGGAGAACAGCTCATTAATGTAGAATGTTAAAAGCCAACAAACAGATAGCCTATGGTTCAGATGTAATAAGACAGACCGCAAAGTTGATAAGTGGAATGTCCACTGTAAACAATGTAAGTGGAGTTGGATCATTAAAGAAAAAACAAATTGGAAATTTTTCTGATGCACTACACATTAAATTATGAAATATTCAACTGGATATTGAAAAAATGAATTAGAGTAATAAGTGAAATTTAATTTGATTTTGTAAATAGTTATCTTTTTACGGAAGTGAGCGTAAATTTACAGAGTTTAGGCGATGTTGAAGTATATTTTTGAATTGAATATTATTATTGATTGATATTGAAGTTGTTATTATGTTTTTATTGAATTATTTTCTTTATTTTGTGTTCGTGAAGAAGGATAATTAATTTTTTATCATATATATTGTTCATTCTTTAGTAAGGTTTCCTCATGAAACCATGGTTAACCAATGAGCGGGCAAGCTGTTGCACAGAGTGCAACATGCATAGTTTTTTGCTTCTCACGTGTTTTAATGGAACATTTCGGAGCTGACCACGGGAAGTATTCCAACACCAGACTAGGTCACCGAATGGTGTTTGAATGATTTCTGTCAACATAAAGATAACAACTTCCTGACCCCTTTTGTCACAGCCTATGCTGTCCATTGCACTCCGGTCCAGTGAGTCAGTGTGACTATGAAATCCACATGTGGCGCTTTTGTCAAATACAGAATGGGAGCCCTTATCAAGTGTCAAATTCTCCAGATGATAATGTTATAAGACTTTGGTAGTTTCATATATATGAAGGACCAATAGAAATGTGACAACATACAACTTCTGTACAAGCTATTTGTTGTCAAAGAAACAGCAATTAGATATTGCTTTGACATCAGTACGGACTGGAAAAAAACCAACAAAAAACACCTTCTGAGTTTCTACCTAAGAAAACACAAGACGTAGACGACTCTACATACGGATTCTAGAATAATAATATTCTAGTTTCACGTGCACCTAAGAGAAGCATAGCGTTGGTGCTTCTTTCAACACTGCATTTTGACAGATTATGATACGAGAAAGCCATGCATCATCTTGCGTTATAATGTCACAAAAGGAGAAGTAGACACTGCGGATCAGATGTGCAGTTGGTAATCAATTTTAAGCATTACGAGATGGACAATGTCTCTTTTCCACAGCTTTTGGTCATTGCAGGTGTGAATGCACTTGTTCTCTCGAAAGACAACAGGCACGACTGCGTAAGAGGCCACAGAAACGTGAATTGAATCTTGTATGTTTGGAAGAGCAAAAACTTCTTCACTTCCTTTTTGATAACCGTACGTTTCTTAGTTGGTATAGCAACGATGATAGCATAGCAGAACAAGAATCAGAGAGAAAAAGCAGCAAATACGTGAAATGCAGCCGGTTGAAGAATACGACAACAATATTAAGGTGTGAAATGTATAGATAAATCACTTGCAAACAGCGCAAAAAGTGTTTTTATCACTACATCACATGTTCTAAAACCATACAAAGAATAATTTGAAGTCAGATGAGATTACAATTCGTAATTACAGACATGTATTAAAAAAATTATGTTACTCATTGAAATAAAAATTCTTAATGTTATAAAATACAGTTATTCCTAATGAGTTAAACAATATTATATTTAAGTTATATGAGATATTTCCTCCACATGCATGTAAAATCGCAATCTCAGTGTTGCACAGAATGCAACACGCACCAGCTGGTGTGACTAAATAAAGCACACCCACTGAAGGGTTAATAAACAATGTTTTCCTTTTAAATAACTTTCTTACACCATGGTAGAATCGCTAGTTTTCAATTTGCAATAAACAGTAAGTTTCACAATCCCAAATTGGAAAAATTAAATTAAATAGAAAACTAACAGTTCTCAGTACCTGTCAGGATATGCTTCAGCATTTAGTGAGCACATATGATTGACTTCTTTGAGGTTTACATTTGAGAACACCAACTTGTGATTGGAGGAGTAAATTACAGTTGGCCTGTCAGAGCAAGCAAATACATTTGTAGTTGATAATGACCTGAATGTTCTCAAAACTGTAGGCTGTGTTCCTAAGGTCACCTAAAACAATGATATATGAAAATAATATTGATTTAATTTATAACACACAAGAATATAAACTAAAACATTTTACAAAAGAGAGAATAAGGCTCATCACAAACCTTCTTTTTATCTGACAGCATTCCAGTCTGTTTGTTCAGAGAGAAGTAAAACATGGATCCATCACCAAGAGCACATAATAAATAATTCATACCCTCAAAACATGTCATCAAAATTGACCGGGGAATGATTTCTATAAAACAAAAATGAAAGCATAAGAAAACAGGATTCCAAATGCAGGTAATACTGTTCAAAGCTACACACACTTTGTCAAAAGAAAAATATCTCACCTCCTCCAAGGTACTCTCTATTTATTTCTTCCAAACCAGGTAGCCTTAAAATTCGAGCAGAAATATCTGTCCACAATCCCACAGCAACAATTTCTGCTTTATTGTTTCCTTCTTGAAGAGGAGTAATATCCAAACATGCCACTTCATGTTCTAGTGTTGCTTGCCTATAAGGGTCAAATATCAGAACAAAATGTGAGAAGCTTGAATATACATTCTGACAATTTTAAAGGACTTTTCTCCTTTTGTATATTCATACAGTGCCTATTTGATAAAAGGACTAATCTTGAGTGTGAACTATCTATTAGAGATCTGGATATCATCTTTGATGTAAGATGAATTTTAATGAACAAATTGATACAATCACCAATAAATCTGTACAACTCTCAGACTTACTAAAAGAATTCTGAAAGTATTAGTCTTACCGCCCTGAAAACTCTTATATTTTCCCCTGATAAGATCTCACCTACTCTTTGCCATTGCAGTTTGTGCTCCTTTTCGAACCACAAATCAAGAGATTGAAAGAATTCAGCACAAGTTCTTTAGATTCCTTGCACCCAGAATGTATCTTCTCTATCCATTTAGATATTGAGTTCTCACTACATCATCTGGGCATTTTAGTACAATCACATTGCAAAACTTTACTAATCTTGAACATGTACTTTTTTACACATTTATTTACATCAAACAAGTGGATTTCAAGATCCTGTATATTTGTCAACCATGTTAACATTGACATAGCATATCTGAGTCTGAATGGGTTCACGAAGTTTTCAAAATATACTGTACTTTCAACATGTAATATTCTTTGGTAAAGTTGTGTTTTTGTTACTCTTTTGTTCATTACGCTGAGGCAAAAATATACATATATATATTTTTTGGATTTAGCTATGATTTAATCTCACTTCATACGCTTATGTCAACTTGATTATTTATAAGTTTCCCTTACTGACGCTATCTTCTACCTGTAAAAGCATTTCTGAATTAGACTTAAGTCTGTATATTAATAAATAAATATATTCACCCCTTCTGAACAAGTTCCTTTTCACATATTTCCAAATAAAACAGATCACTTCCAGTAGCACATACAACTTGATTTGTGTTACAAGCAACAACACTAATTGTTTTATCTGATGGTGGCTTCCATTCACTAAAAAGTAAGGCAGTTGGTTAACATTCAATAAATCAAACATAACACAAAACAATGGCAATTAAAAAAGCAAAAATCAATACTGTATTAAGTGCTTTGTATCCACAGCTATAAGTCTGGCAGATGTTGGTGTTACTTGTACAATTTGGTCATAGTCAACATTGCCACAAAAAAAGGATTGCTGGTCTGACACAAATCCAGAAATTTCAGTTTCCTCCACTTCTTCTCCATTCAGAGTAAGGACCCTAAACAAAAATATCATAAGAGAAAATGGAAAAACTTGCATCTGGTCAAAAATTATATTTATATTTACTTACCTAGTCTGTCCAACGAAAGACAAAACAAGGGTATTATCTACTTTATCACGAGTAGCAACTCTAAGAGCCCACATTCCTTTTATACCTGGCAAATCAATGGAAGCATGCTCTTGGATGCCAATGCCATTACGGATTATTCGCAATGAACCTTCTTTGTAGGCACCTAAATGAAAAACAAGAGCATACAATTACTTACATATGATACACAGAATCAAAAGATTGTCTCAATATTAATTTTTTACTGGTTTGTGATGAATTCATTCACTAGGCAATGTGGCCAGTTACATGCAACTTTTATTCTCAATTGAAGCACTGAGAACCTGGCAAGTGGCAAACTTAACTCTTGGGAAATAATAAAATTGAATTTATACATGTTACTTAAACAGAACCAGGACTAGACATGATTGTGAGTTTACCAGTTAGCAGTAATTTCAATTGCTAAACAGGCAACCTTCATCTCCAAGCACCCTCGTACCATTACAATGCCCATCACCTAGAATACCCTTCAACTTAAACAACTTGCAAGAAGTTTCGATTCTCATATGTTATGAGTTACATATGATATTTGTGGATTTTGTCTCGAAGGCAGACACAGCATATACCACCTCTCTCATTATTTTCACATTTTCTGCTATTTCCACCAATTTCCGTTGGTCCTGTCTTAGAGACTACTTTTACAACACCTCTCCTTCCTGCCACAACTTATTATGAACAAAACTTCCTGTATATAGTACATATTAGGATATAACTGTTCTACAAAACTTCATGTAATTTACATTTATTTCTAAGCTTGCACTGCTAACACTGCTCTTTGAATTGATTTCGAGGAATCAAAAAGTGTCATTACCCAGATCTGTTTCTTTTCATAGTATAATATATTACTATGTAATAACACGTTGCTTCAAATTTTGGTGACCAGTGTAAAAAAGACACAAAATCCATTTTTATGGAAGACAAGATGTTATGTGTTATGTTTATTTGGAGAATGATCAAATATTCAATGAATTGAAGTGGACGAGAACTTTAACTGACTCCATACAAAACACAATCACGAAAAACAGAACAAACATTGAACTTGATGCAAAACCCAGAGGTGATGTATAACAACACACACACACATCAAAATATGTAACAAAGTATCAATCAAGATGTATAATGAAGTAATGTTAGGTTACATATAAATGGAAATTTATAACTGACACAGTGGAACTCTACATAAGACTTGCCATAGAAATGTCCCACCCCATTTCACATTACTTGCTATTTCTTGTCACTGTACATGTATATATTTTTATGCCAAAATATTTCTTACCCAAGACACTCACACTTTGACACTTGCTATACAGGAGCCATCCTTTTTTTCTCTTCTCCCAACATTGTTCTGTTTTCCATCAAGTTCAATTTTTCTTCTGTTTTTCACAATTGTGTCTTAATATGGAAACATGGAAACAGCTGAGGTCTCATCTACTTTCATTCATTGAACACTTGCGAATAAACACTATGCAGTCTTTGAATTATTTTCCACAGAAACGGATTTCTCACTGATCATCACAATTTGAAGCAACACATGATAATATTATACAACAAACAGGAAACCACTCTGAGCAATGACATTTTTTCGATTTTCTAAAATCATTTTAATACTTCATCTATGCTAGACACGTCCTGTAGGCGAATGTCAATTTTTTCCAGTGTAAGTCAAAAGTGTACTAACTTTATCAACCCATTTTCGACAATACGAACTGGCTAATTTGAAAATTACACAGATTCTAACATTAATCATAACAAATACATCACAATAGCATTAACATGAAAATCACAACAGAACAAATTTTGAACCAATGTCAAAAGTAAAGAAACCAAGCAATATTTATTCTCTGTTCTACACAGTACACAAGACTATTGGCTACAAATAATGTAAAAGTTATGTTCCAACATTCAAATTCTCTTTTCCTCCTATTGTTGAAATAACAGAGGGGTTTCATAGTCATTTCAATTCTTTGAGTGGGCTTACACATTATAATGAAATTATTTTCTCAAAACCAGCAAGTTTTCAGTTTATTCAAAAACCAACTGTTCTTGATAGCCAACAAAACCAGGATTAAAAACAAACACCACCACCTTACCTGAGCAAGTAACAAGTTGTCCTTGACCCTGTCTCTCCAGATCCACAACTACCATGTCCACAATAGGAGCAAGATTTGTAAAAGTCTCCATTATGCTTACATATGATCCATTTTCATCAGGCTTTACATTAAGCTTAATTAATTGTGAATCACCAAGGCGGGAACCAATAAACAACACACCATTATCTAAATATGTTATACACTCTGGCACACTTATGTCACCTGTTCAAAGTAACAAATTCATTCATCATGGAATCGCATGTGTGCACATCACAAATATTACAAGTTGATAACCAAACATTAACATACCAAGCAATTCAACCTTTAAATCTTTTACTATTAATGTTCCATCCATTTTCTCCTCCTGCTCTAAGAGAAGCATGAATAAATGGCCAGCCATGTCACCGAGAAGGTAACGTGAACCATTGTTATCCACTCTAGCATAGCATACAATTGTACTTTGCTGAAAAAAAGAAAAGTCAATGCATGATTAACACACAGTAAATTAGTTTTGTTGAATGTGAATCAGGTTTCTCTATTACTTGCTGACTAGGATTCAAACTTACCTTTGTCTTCTCTAATGCACAAGTCAAGCAAGATCGCAAGTATCAATACATCTATAGTCAATTCTTTTAAATTATGTCTAAATCACTACAATAATTTGACATTCTTTGAAAACTATGTACTATTTGTGCAAATTTGTCAATAATAGTACTGTGGTAAGGTGAGTTTTCAAGCATACTCTTTAGTATAAGGATTTTACTATGCAACGAGGAAGCTTTAATAGTCTTTCATGATCCAAAAATACACCATCTGCAGATGTTGACAAATAAAGATATTATACTCAGACTAAGAATCTGCTATTTTTGAGATATCACAGAATTAAATTTTTAAGCAAATTTGACATATTAATTTGAAAGAATAAGTACATTAGAAATTCAATTAGAAAAATCACTACTCATCAAAAGATAGTCTGCAATATTTTCAGGAAAGTCAAAGCTTCAAGAATTATTATAACTCAACTCTCATAGTTGTCTGGACGCTTCATTGAATTTCAATACCAACAAAGAATTAATATGAAACTTAAGTTAATGAAATGATCTTCAATTGCATGCATTTGATAACACTGGCAATACTCATACAATAATTTCTAGGTAGATTGCGCACTAACCTTTATTACAGGAGGTGCAACAGCTACATACGTATTGCCATCATGATATAAAATGGACTCTTGGCCTATGATAATAGCCCCACCCAATGGCTCTGGGACAGGAATTACCATTGATGCCTCTGTTTCTACATTATCCTGTTTCCATGGGATCTATTACAAATAAAATAATATTTCACATTAAAATAATATTTCATATAACTTGAAATTTTAGAATGTGAAAATATTTGACTTGAAAGCCATCTGAAATTATAAGAAAATATCAAATTTACAATTTCAAATGAATAAAACATTTGGAATGACAAATCTAAAATTCACACTAAATAAAAACCAAAGAATTAAATCTAATAATCCCATTCCTTTCTACTGGTAAAAGAAACCAAATTATTTCATAATTAGAAACAATTGAGTCTTTATACTTAGGATAAAATGGAAGACAAATGCAAATATGAACATTTAACAAAGGAGTTTCCACTTATTATGGAATCCTCAGCAAGTGCATTTTTCTATCATGTATAGAGGCCTGTCTGAAGTTTCTACTATATTTTTTTATATATGAATTATCTAAATGAAACATTTTAAACCATTATTTGTAGATTTAGTTTTAGAACTATACTTCAAATTACTAATAAGCAAACTTTTACTAATTTTTCTTGAAATGCTAAAAATAAATATGAAAAAATACAGGCAAAATATGAACAACCATTTGCCTTTAACTCCCAATAATTAAACATACTACTAAATACTAGTGTCACATTACATAAAAATTCACACCATAAACAAATATTTCAAATTTGAGGTTTTCTTTCACTCTTTCTCATGTGCATGCTAATGACAAAAACATTCTGAACATAGCAAAATATTTTTTTACTCATTCAACACATTTACACAACACAAACTTGAAAACTTCAAAGATCACTCACTCACACTCGCAAACACCTATTTCTTTTTCACACACCATTCAAAGATAAGGTAATACCTTAACAAACTCCTTATCTCGAAGCGAAATCTCGTGCGTTTTTACATGCCGTCCATTTAAATCTTGATGAATTAAAATTATTGTAGGGTTCAGACACCCATGGAGAAATTCCAAATCTTGCACTTGTAGTTCTTCCATCCTACCATCACAAAAAAATAATGTAAGGCCTCAAATAACAAACATCAACAGAGTTGAAACTAAAATTCATACCTGATACTCGATGCCTTTAATTCACTGTTGTCCTTTTCTAAAGGAATGATTTTGAACAATCCATCGTACAATCGCAACCCTATAACTCTTGCTTCTGGGTCTATAACAGCAAGAATCCCAGTTTCAGATGGCTTTCCAATTCGGTCTGATACATTACCATGAGCTTTGGTAATAATTTCCAGATTTTCTCCTTCTCCAACACATTCGAGAATCATTGCATTGTAACGTTGAGTCACGATGAATAGTAAATCCTTTTTGTCATGCTAGAAACAAAATTTCATTAGATGACTATTGTGAATGTGTCATATTTCACAATATCTGATAAAAGGGGACTTACAGGAGCCCGAAAAAACTTCATAACTGCAACTTTCCCATACAAGCCTACTTCCTTTAAAGCTCTTAGACCTTCAGGTGTCACTAAATAAATTTCTAATCGAGTGTTTTTGGCCAGTATCAAATTTAAGTCGCTGGGAGATGTGAAGTTTCCTATTAATAAAAACAAAAACATTTCATTAAGTGAGTAAACAATGTTTATTTTGAGCATTTTAACTTGTACAATTTAAAATTGCACAAGTAAATGAGTAACAAACAGGATAAATTTATTAATAAAATCGTTGTGATGAAAAATTCACGTCGGATCTTAACCATTATCAATTTCAAAGTTCTCAAGTTCACATAGTTATTCAAATTACATCAGTAAAATGCAAGACATTTTTAAATAAAATTAATTTAAAGAATAACAATCTCTAATAATACCTGAATGTATTGTCAAATAATAAGTACCGGTGATTACGCTATTAACCACATTATTCAAGAAAGTAAAAAAAAATGCCTTTTTAATATCTCATTCACAGTAGACAAATAAAGAATGCATACCAGTGACACATGCTGTAACTGCAGTAGGTTTATGGGCCGTAACAACATAATGGTGAGCCATTCTGTAAATTTCCTATCCTATTAAAATCCAACACAAATAATATTCTCGCACATTACTTTTTCGGTGCTGATGATGGACTGCGGCGCTTACAATAAATCGATTATTGCATCCTGTACCACTATCGATATTTCGAATTGCTGATGCCTCGAATGTGAACTGTACTTTGCATACTCTTTGAATCCTTGAGTGATATTTTTTCCGAGATCGAATATTACTTTCACTATTCGCGAGTATTCTACCTTTACAACATTTTTGTTATCATTAATAGCAATATGCTTTTGGTCGCTCAGATTTCCTCACGGTGAGCATGAAGTCTATAGGACAGACTTCATGGGTGAAACATTTTGCTCAGCCGTTATAGCATTCCAGCCAATCAGCATTCCCGTTCAAATAGGCCATTTTTCGAGAATTTAAAAAAAGCAGCTTTGATATCCACAAATACTATAGTGCTGTGAATCCAGGGATAGCAAGCATGGCCTTCCAGTGAACCCTGGGTCAATTATCAATTAAATGTTTGGTATATTTATTAACGGTTTCGTAGAAAGGATATGCCTGGAGGGAGATGAAGATGCGTTGTGTACGAATGTGTTCAGAGCAAATATAATGTTTGAACATGGCAACTAAAGACATATGGACAACTCCAGACGAGAAACACAAAAATCAAGTTGATATATCATTGGGAAACAGAGATGGATAAGCGTCATACAAGTAGCAAGAACAGTAGTACTTGTAGATTGCGGATCAGATCACGAGTTAGTCATTGCAAACATTACAGTAAAATTATAGAAACAAGTAGGCAGTAGGGGAGAAAAATGAGAAATGATTTACAAAATGTACTTCAATAATATTTAGAAACGATTCAAAATCAAATTCATGCTATCTCAATTACTGACAGGAATCCGGATACAATTTGGCAAAATATTACAGGGCCCTGAAAGCCAAAACAATAATACCCCAAAGTCTCCCACGAATAACCCCAAATGGCAGACTGAAAAGAGAAGAGAGTATAAAGGTCACTATTGAGCGAAGAAATGCTAAGCTAGCTGGCAACTTTGTAGAAGTCAGCCGCTTAAACTTCTCTTTTCAACGGTTGGCAAGAAGAGACAAAAATCAGTTTAGAGAAGATAAATGTGAAGACATTGAAAATAAAAAGTCCAAACCAAAAGACAATTTCAGGACAATCAGGGTCGTTCAGGACAATTAAGATTCAGACCCAAATCTGGAAACCTAAAAAGTGACGGCTCAATGCTGACATCCAAAAGTTAGATAATTAAGAGATGGAAGAAGTACACTTCGGAATTATACGCAGAGGACAAAAGGGTGGAGGGAGAAGCAAAAAACAGTGGGAGAGAAACTGAGAGAGACGGCTCAGGGCATCAACTGATGTCACTGCAGTCCCTCTGACTGGGAGGTCCTAGGGTCCCGACGGTGGCAGGATTTTCGACACTAGCTTGTTAGCCTGTCGCTGTCTGGAGGAGAATTCTAGCGGCCGGCTGCTCTGATCGGTAATTTTCCGTGGTTTCTCCAATGAAAACCAGGCAAATCCCGGAATAGTTCCCTAACAAACGGGTCACGGACCGCGCACGATCTCATCTCCCTCTTCCCTGTCCTATCCTACACGTTACAAACCTCTCTCTCTCTCTCTCTCACACACACACACACACACACACACTAACATGCTTTGCACTAACACACATGCCAGAAGACCGGTCTGGATCTTCGAGCTTGTCCCGACTGGAGCGATGTCCCGCTGGAGGGAGATACCTGGTCGGGTAAACCCGTCTAGCCGACGGTAGGTCGGCGCCGGATCTCGCCATACAGCAGGGTAAGATCACAGCCAAATCGAGCAAACACATGCACTTCACTTACGGGACTAGCGACCCTGGTAGTTGACGTGCCCGGAATCACGAAAACAAACAAATAACGAGAGAGATTAGAAAAAGAAGTTTCATGTACAATTGATCATCTTCCGAAAAACAAAGCTTCAGGTGAAGATAACATGCCAATTGAATTAATTAATATTATGAAATAGAGTGATAGAGTATTTGGGATAGAGTAAACTGGCCCAAGAGTTAGATGCAGTCTACAGTTGTACCGCTGTTAAAAAAGGTGATGTCGGAGAATGTAACAACTACTACTCGCGCAAGTTTTCTTGATACGAGGGTTGCCTTTTATAATTCAGGATTAGAGAACAAAAACAAATATTAATCATCGAAAATCGTTTTTGTTTTTCAAAATATTTCCGCCATGAAGATCTATACACTTTTGCATGCGTTTGCAACCAATTGTCGCAAGCACTTTTTGCACTCTGATACTGCGTATCCTCCAAAACATGCGTTCTGACATGCAGCAACCGCTTCTTCGGCGTGTCGAACAAACGCTTGACTCTCTCATGTTGCTTTTACGTACGGAATAAAATAAAAAAAGAAAACGAAGTTATTCGGTGACAAGTCAGGACTATACGGCGAATGATCATAAATAGATGTTTGGCGTGCTCAAAACGCAGTTGTTTGAGCCGATGTCGAGAGACTCGCATTGTCGTGGTGAAGAAGTGATCCGTCTTCGGCGGTTGGTTTTTCCTGATTTCTTCGAAGGCAGCTGCAGCAAACAAATCATTGTGCTATCGCACTCAGAATGACGTTCTGCCGTTGTTCTAGTGGTACGGTTGCGACATGGTTCCAGTTTTTTGCGCGAAAAACAAAGCGACCACTGTTTGAAAGTTTCGTGGCTTGAAACATTTTGTTGATTTTTGGCCTCATCTTGATCCCATACAGTCGACTGCTTGTTTCTTTCGTAAATCCACGATTCCATCACCGTGTCATAACGTGTTTCGAAGCACCGCGATCGTATTTTTTGCAGCATTTCTTTCGACCAACGACACGAGAACTTTTTTTGACGATATGACAAATTGTGTGGAGTCCAACACGACAATTTTTTTTGACAGTCAAATGTTCATGCAATATTGATGTATGCTGGTCCCCTAATGCCTAAGGTTGTTCAATCTCAGCGATTAGGTCACATGACGATCTTGCAATATCAGTTCACGCACAGCATTTTTACGCAATTATCAGTTCCGCACAAGGTTTGGAAGCACTGATTTGGACGACCTTCGCGAATTCGTCTTGGGGGTGAACTCCGGACACGTTGAATTCACATGCCATCGTTAAAGCACTGGTTTTCATTGAGCTTCATCGCTCAAAAGGTGAATTAAGTTCATCAATGCACTGTTGGCTGACGTTAATCGCACGCTCGAAAGTTGTAAAAAAAATATCCCACGGAAAATGTTCATGATTTAATTCCATTTTTTGGGCCAAGATGAATCTTTTAAGTACTCGTAAAACACAACTAGCGCTCGTATGTCAAACGTTCTGAGTACGTATAACCTCAAACAATCGCAATTTTACGATAGAGTAGCTGTCAGTTGTCAGATTGCAACACCAGGGTTGCCAAATCCCGAAACATAAAAGGCAACCTTCGTACACGAGCTCCCTAGTCCTCGCCCAGTGCTGAATAGCACGGCACGCAGAGATACTCAGGTTGGACTCGGAACGGCACGTACCAATTTACAATGCCCTCCTCACCCCGCACCCTCCGCTGTGGAATACTATCAAGAAAACTTGCGCGTACAGTACAGAATCATCTCTTTAATTCAGCACGCTAGTAAAATATTCCTAAGAATTGTGCAAAAGAGATTAGAACAACATGTGGAAAGGGAAATGCTGCAAGAACAAGTTGGACTCAGGAAAAGCAGAGATACAATGGATCAGACAGCAAAAATTCGCTGGATTGCGGAAAAGACTAGAGAGCACAGTTAGGAGATATAGTATCTATGTTTCATAGGCTACGAAAAAGCTTTCGATAGTGCTAGTCGCAAGAAGATGTCACAAGTCTTAAGTTAGATGGGAATACATCAACACCTGCTAGAGGTGATTAAGGAGCTATTCACAAGCCAAGAAGCTAAGGTACAAACGAAACAAGGTATGACGGTTTGGTTTCCAATACAGAAAGGTGCATCCTCTCTCCAATTTTTTCAACTTATAATAATTAACTCAATTTATTCAGCTTTATGCAACTTATATACAGTGAATTCGTAATAAGAGAAGCGGGACTAACTGAACTTCACGTTGGATTATGAATGGAAGGTAGAAAATTGAATAATTTCAAGTACGCTGAATGGAGGAACTTTCGGCGGTAAACCAAAACAAATATTAAAATTGGCGAAGAAGGAAATTATATTAGAATATTGGAAATTAATATTATATTGGTGAAAAAGCAGTTCGTAAATTAAACTTCAGGAAAACAAAAGTAATGTTAAAGGGAACAAGAGAACATAATAATAAATGGAGAAGAAATTTGTCTGGTGGATAGTTACAATTTTCTAGGATCAATTATTACCAACGACAGATCAAGTAAAAAAGAAATAAAAATAAGGCAAACCTAGGAAAAATAGCAATGGGGAAGCTAAATAAGGTAATGAAAAGCTCAGAAATATCCATGAACACAAAAATCAGAAAGATACAGACGTTGGTGTTCCCTGTGGCAGGCCCGACGGATAATGTAGGGATGAGGTAGCTACACTGACATAAAAAATTCCAAGTTGGTTAAATTCCCTCTCGGCATTTGGGGTGAGAGAAATATTTTATAAACATCAAATTCCAGAAATGAATGAAGTTTCTCGGTATTGCGTCGACCCAAAACGGATCAACTACGTATGTTGCAAGATCTACACAAAAGTATTGCGATTTTACATGTTTATAGTAACATGACGGACAAAATAGATTTGCAAAAATTGTTAAATGAGAAATGAGTTTATATAAAAACATGCAAAGCGCAACGCTGTTTATGTTTTGCAAAACTTAACTTCTGAGGTTACTTAAATGTGATAACAATTAAATGATAAACGTGACACTTTGAAAAACTCTGATATGTCTTTTTCCCTTCTTAAACAATTCAGAGGGAGATGGAAGAGAGGGGGTGCCTCCCACCCGGGTCAAGCCCACACGGATTTAACAGCAATCGCTGACCCTGCTCTGTGCTGCTCTATGGATGTGAAAGGTGGACACTGAATAAACACGACAGAAAACTAGACTAGACAGCTTTGAGCTTTGGACATGGAGGAAAATGTTAAGGATGTACTGG